TCGGTCTCATTTTCCAGAGGGAAGTAACAATTTCTTAATTTCTTTGCGTTCTGGGGTAAAGACAGACACATTATCCAGGCATTGAATATTGCATTATATTGTGTTCTGGACAGTGAGTCTGCAGCAGACTCCAGGAGAGCTAATGCACCGCCTGCCCCCCTCTATCAGAAGACGGGTTGGAGAGCACGTTGTGTCCCCATTAGCTGCAAATGTCCTTTGCTGTGTTCGCCCACAGAGCCACCCCAAGGCTCTTCGGGGGCGGCAGATTTGAATTTTGCCTCTTCAAGGATGAGTATCTGAAGCTGGGCCAAAGCTTCGTTTCCTGCTGGCGAGAGAAGAGAGATGAGGGAAGAGGTGCGGAAGGGCTTGAGGGATCAGGCTTGCTTTTTCTGCTGCTCCGGGGGCAGCAGGAAGAGGCTGGTGGTGCACGGTTGCTGCCAGGAAAGGCTAACCTCTAGCTGGAGACCACAAACCCTTGGTGACAGTGGCCAGCCTGGTTTTCCAAGGCCACAGATAAAATAAGCAACGACCTAGGACAGCAGACAGTGGAGGAGACAGAGGAGCACAGTCCTGCTGCTTGCTCCCTGGTATGTTGGACAGAAGTAATTTTGTTCTGTAGTGAGAACTGCACTCTAGCTTGCTTGCTTAAGAAGAAAATGACCAGTGCTTTAATTTACACCCCACCTGGGGATGAAATCTCTCAGCAAGACAGGAGGCTTTTTTTTTTCCCCCAGATGTCACTTTTGAGGGAAACAAATCTCCATGACAGAGGGTGATATACTAGGAATGTTTTTCTTAGGCGGATCTTCCAACTTCTGGTTTGTAACTACACTAATTTGTGGGTGAAGGAAATATTTTGGTACTGAAAACTTGCCAAAATGCTGTTTAACAGGGAATTGCAGTTTGATTAGCACTTATGAGACATTAACAATAATTGTATTCAATTTGGCCACTCAGGATAAAGTGTGATTCAGGATCAGCTGGTTGGTGCTCTGGGGAGAAAAAAAAAAAAAAAAAAAAAAAAAAAAAAAATTGTTTTTTGGTGTTGTGGGTACGTGCCATTACCTTCGTGTTCA